CTTCCTCAAAGAGTGATTCATAGTGGGATGATCCACCAGAGCAGGTCTGAACCAGGTCTTTTGTTTGTGGGGAGGGCGTGGAAAAGAGCATTAAACTGGGAAGACCAAAGAGCAGTACCAAGTCAAGGGAGGCAGCAGCGGATCAAGAATAAGAAATGAAGCCAAGAGGACAAAAGACTGAAAGCAAGGGGTCAGGACAAAGCAGGAGGCTCTATGATAATTACCACAAAAAGCTTTGGTGTTTCTTTTATTTTTTTTCTTAATCTGTGGATACATAAGACATGATAATAAAGTGGCAATAAATCTTTAGGAACTCTGTCAAATAAAGGACAGCTTTCAAAATTTATCATAAACACTATCCACATGATATGATTGATTTCTGGCCATCCAGCTCTTCTAGGTAGAGAAAATCCCACTGATTACTTTCAATTATTTTGTTCCTTCTTTTGAAATGGCCTAGTACTTCAATGCATTAGGGAAGGGGTGAGAAGACTTAGTTTTACGAGAAATGGAAAAATACTGAGACCAGGTGATAGAAAGGTTTCTTCTGGCATCAACCTGATAGATTTAAATGAGAGACAATACTTTAGCATTTGTGCATATCTAGTTGAAAGGAATTATATTCACATGCAGATCATATATTTGGCTCATTTTATAAACACATGTTTTATGCCATGCATTCAAGAAATGTGAAATCATGCCAAGTTTTATATAGCCCACATCATTTTACACATTTGGGAAGGTTAATAGCAAAGATTCCAGGCAACTGATTTAGGTGCTTTTTTAAATTTGGAGATTCTACAGCTGATTATAGATTTAGAGGAAGCTGGAAAGCCTCAACAAATTTCTTCTTTTCTTTAGTTACCAGAGAAGGATAGAGAAAAAAATTTCTAAGCAGGAAAGAGTGGTTTTGCTAGTTTCCACTATTCCTTTTTACCACTATCTTCCTTCAGGCAAAAGTCAGCCTGTATTTTCAAGTGTCTTGGTATAAACATGCCTGTATTAAAACATTCTCCTTGTTTATAATTTTATGATTTATCTATGTATCTTTATTTTTGGCTACCATGACTTTTTACAGCTTTCTAATTTATATAGCCATTTGTTTAGGCTGTCAAAACATTTTTAATTTTAATTACTGTGTATCATGCCTGAGGGTGTAAAACTGTCAGATAAATCTGAGACTCTGCATAAACATGTGGAGAACTGCATGTGTTATCACTCAACAATTGCTAGTGGGCAGTAAGTAAATGCCTTTCTAGGGGGTTGGCTGGTTGGCTTCTTTTTCTCCTCCATGGAGGGCACAAGATGATGTCAGACTGGGTACTGGATGCTTTGTCACACACCACATGTTGATGACCCTGGCACAAAAAGGGCAAGAGTGTGTGATGGACAAGTCACAGCCTGGGCAGCCTGCAGATGGCTGATGGGAGAGCACTTAATATGTAAGCCTGTCAGATTGGGCAACTGGATAGTCAATCTGGCACTCAGTTATTTTTTCAATAATAATTAGGGAAGAGGAGTCAGATTTCTCAAAAAGTAGGATAGTATATTTGGTTGATAAAATGTGATCAGGGATTGGGCTTTTTCTTTTTCATAAAGTCTCAGCAGCATAGATATATGTATGTATATACATATCCATCCATCATCCAGCCATCCACCTATCTATTATAAATCTAAAATTCTTGCATTTGAGGTCAGGAGATGTGAACTTGAACTTTACTGATGTCACTTACCCACTATGGTAATCTTGAACAAATTTAACTGTAGGCTTACATTGCAGTCAGCTGGAAGGCTTTTAGAGGTAATCTAGACCTTTAACCAATACAACATTAAATCTACGATGAGAAATAGATATGGACTCTGTGTGTATTTGCCCTATGGAAACGTACTATAATTACAGTTTGGCTATGATTTTTCATGTCAATGCCCAGGGAAGGCTGCCTCCACCCTCTGCTACTTTCTATAGCCTCAGCCCTTGATTTCAAGAACCAGAGAGAAGATAGGGCAGGGAAAATGAGAATATTCTCTTCCACAATCTGTTTTTTTCTGATCTTTTCCACCTTTTATCTTTGACATGCCCAAAGTACATTAATAAGGCAATATGCCTCACAAAGCATGTCAACTAATTAAATTGTTACTATTTGTGGCACTGAGTTTTCCAAAGGAGTCTGTGTTTCTAGTCTGTGATCTCAACCAGGTGGAGGCACTTGTAATATGGAGATAAATTGATTATTGGTGTGGAATCTTTCAGAAAAGAAGCCATAGTAGAAAATAAAGAATCTTATACTTTAAAGTGTTAAAGCTTGGTAACTTACAGACTATGTATTGACTACAAAAGTCACGTGAATTCAAAAAAATTCCCCTCATGTACATTTAGCTCTTTGATGGAAATGTGCTTACTTTAACTAAAGAAAGATTTTTTGAAAATATATTAGCATCTTTGATATAATAAAGCACTGCTGAACTAGCCCATCAGGACTCAGCTCTTCTTCCTTGAAAAACTGATGCCTTTCCCCTCTTAATTTTCCAGTATAAAACATTTCTCTTTTCCACCCTGAGATTTAAGAGTTCTTTGTTGGAGTGATTTGCTTCCTTAAGAAAATGTCATTCCCTTGAGGTTTATTAAGGGTATCTGGTAATAAACACTATGTGTTAAACACTGAGCAAAGGGGGTAGTTCTAAGGGGGAGTAAAACAGATACTAAACACGAAGTTAGAAATGGGCTATATTTCAGATAGGATGATTGTTGACAGTCATTCATCTCTAGTAATTACATAGACTGGAGTGTAGATTATGTATCATTTAAACAAAGGTTTTTTTTCTTTCCTCAATAACAAGCACATACTAAGAGCTAAATATGACTCTGAGTTAATAAATAGATGAATGCAGAATCAGTATTTTTCTTTATTTCTCTGTCTTTTGACTGTTAATTTTGAAATTTATATCAAGAAATAAACTTAAGAAAAATGTAACACTCATAATGCTATTGTTATTCAATTATAATTTGCCTTAATTATGAAGAGACAAAAATGAAAATGAAATAAATATGCTTGTTATTTGATTATTTGCATCAGCACAGAAGATAAAAGAACTACATATCCATGTTTACAGCAGCACTACTAGTAATAGCCGATGGGTAGAAGCAATCTAAATGTCCATTGATGGATGAATGAATAAACAAAATGTAGTATATTCAC